CTTGACATATTGAAAATTGTGTGTGTGTGTGTTTTTGGCAGCAGCCCCAAATTACGATACCTAAGATGTTATCCCGTGCTTAAAAATACGCATACAGACCGAACCATTATAATGAATGCACACTTGCGAACATATGCATGCCAGTATACACACACAAAGAGATATTATGTAATAAATGAATGCACACATACACATATATACATGCACACACAAAACACACACACACACACACACACACACGCACGCACACACACACACACACACACACACACACACACACACACACACACACACATACAAACGCAAACCCATACACCGACGTTTGAAAAAAACCCACAACAAACAATACTGTTTAAAAATTCGAAGGTCAAAAAGACATACAAGTATTCGTGCCACGAAACAATAAACGAACTCGGGAGTGAAAATGTCACTAATTGTGCACAAATATCAATGACGCAATTGGGGAGGGGAAAAGCTCGGTGTGGACAAAAGCTCAGCCTCAAAACGTACTGCTTTTTCTCTACGTTCCATTCAACATTTCAGCCCAGCGCAAAATGAATGGGAAATGTGTTGAAAATAGCCCAGCCCTAACAAAAAAGTTTGTTCAATATTGCTTTGTGATGATCTTAGTTTTCGAAAAGCTGGATGTAGATTCTATTGTTTTGTTGACCGCTATTACTATTAGCGGCTTTTGTCTGTGGTCCACCCAGGGCAAATGGACAAATAGTCCTCTGGGTGTGAGTGTGTGTGTGTGTGTGTGCGTGTGTGTGTGTGTGTGCGTGCATGTGTGTGTGTGCGTGTGTGTGTGTGTGTGTGTGTGTGTGTGTGTGTGTGTGTGCGCGCGCTCATGTGTGCGCTCATGTGTGTGTGTGTGTGTGAGTCATTGTGTGTGTGTGTGTGTGTTTGTGTGTGTGTGTGTGTGTGTGTGTGTGTGTGTGTGTGTGTGTGTGTGTGTGTGCACGCGTGTGTAAGTGGGTGAGTGTATAATATGAGAGATTGAGTGTACGTACATGTATAATGTACGTATGTGTGTGTACACTAAGTACGTGTGCGTGCGTTTATGTATAATTGTGAATATGTGTCCGAGAGCGGATGCGTGAGTGTGTGTGTGTGTGTGTGTGTGAGTGTGTGTGTGTGCGCGTGTGTGTGTGCGCACGCATGTGTGCATGTTTGTGTGTCCATGAGTGGGTACATGTACATATATGTACGTAGGCATGCATGCCATTATGCACCCACCCCTTCGAGAGAATAGGCGCTTGCGTCTGCGAGTCCGCGTGTTCATGTGCACGATAAATATTTGATAGGAGAGAAGGAGCAAATCACACCAGAACACCAACCAACTACCCAAACTTCCAACTCCAACGTCACGGGCGAGGACAAACAGTCTTGTAAACGCAACAGACGCAGACAGCATTTCCGCATCTGATGCTGTTGGGTAACAGTTTAATGTGGCAACATTTCATCAGAAACAGACAACGGTGAAAGTTTATTTTTAGTAAGAGTTTTACGGCACTTGCAGCACTATAAGGCCATATAAATGCCGAAGATTAGATATGTTACAAGAGAGTAACAAATATAAAAAAGGAGGAGAGATCAGGGCGATAGATGTTTGATAAGAAAGAAGGAGCAAACCACACCAGAGCACCACCCAACGATGAAAGAAACGCCCCAAAAAATCGGAAACAAACAAGAGAAATGAGCATGCCGAACGAACCGCATAATCTAAGTACCAACCATACGCACTGCTCAGATATTCATAGACTTGAATTATACTATCCTAGTCCAAGCACTTCCATGGCCACCGCTCTTTGCTCTCCATAAGAGCTTCGGAGTACCACCAATTGCGTGCAAATGAAGGGAGAAATGCTAGTCTCAGTATAATCAAGCGCGGGCAACCTTTGTCTCTCCTTGCCCTTTATTTGGTTCAAAATACAGAATTGGTTCCTCAACGGTGAACCAGTATTTCGTCAGAGAGTGCAATCTTCGATATTGTTATTATGATTATTATATATTTTATGGAGATATTTTCAAAACATGGAAACACAACAGTGAAACGTTAAAATCAGCGCAGTCGTGTTTTAGTTTCTAATGTCTTATCGTCTTAAAAGTTTCAAGACAAAATCGAAACAGAATCTGGTCTGACAAACACCCGTTCAACAGACGTAGCCATGGCTGCTTCACCTGGGGTAAAAGACAATAGACATTGAATAAACACAAGCGTACCATGAGCCTCGAAGCCGATAGGCGCTGGTGGCAGGGGTTCAGAGTTCATTTCCGGGTACAGGCCTTGACCCTCGTTGCTTGGGCTCACACCTGAATAGCGAGAAAAAAATATGGAAGAAATTAGCTCTTGAAATACTCGCATATCTGAACCACGAAAACAAAACGAAAATAGATTAAATTAGCTCTTGAAATACACACGTATTTGAACTGCTAGAAAAAGAAAATTAATGAAATTAGTTCTAGGAATACACAATGTGAAAGGTGAGAAATAGAAGATTAATGGAATTAAATCTAGAAATGCACAACTGAAAGACGAGAGCAAGAAGATGGATTAGACTAGAGTTTTAAGTTTGTTTATTTATGCTTTGTTTGTTTTTGTTTTGTTTGTTTGTTTGTTTGTATGTTTGTTGTTGTTGGGTTTTCGGGGGGGGGGGGTTGGTTTATTTGTTTTTTCTTTCAGCTTTTGTAAAAAAATTTAAAAGACTTTCAACTCAATTAGACCACATGAGAGTCGAAGATTAGAGGTGTTACAAAAGAGTAACATACAAAGAAAAGGAGGAAAGACAACGACGAAAGAAAGAGGGAGAAATCCACATCGGAGCATCCACAAACCACCACATGAAATAAAAGCTCTGAAAATACATCAAATCAGTATTCGATACATTTGAAGGTATACCATCACAATTCACATCCGAACAGAGTGTCCGCTGACCCCACATGACACACACACACA